AGGACAGGCCCCCCAGCTCGGAGGACGAGGACACTGCCCAGGAGGGGCAGCCAGGCTCACCTGGCCGGGGCAGGGAGGCGCCGGGTCATGCCGAAGGCGATGGGCGCTTCGAGGATATGGGCTCTGATGATGACCTGTGAGTGAGGGTCTGGGGGCTTTGTGCACTGAATGGTGTCTAGGTCTTGGTGACCGAGTTGTAAGGGCCGGACAAGGCTCCTTACGGAAGTGCCACCCTTTAGAACAGTGATGGCGAACCTTTTGAGCTCGGCGTGTCAGCATTTTGAAAAACCCTAACTTAACTCTGGTGCCGTGTCACATATAGAAATTTTTGGATATTTGCAACCATAGTAAAACAAAGATGTATATTTTTGATATTTACTTTATATATTTAAATGCCATTTAACAAAGAAAAATCAACCAAAACAATGAGTTCGCGTGTCGCCTCTGACACGCATGTCATAGGTTCGCCATCACTGCTTTAGAATGTTCTGGATGGCAGTGGACATGTTCTCTACATGCAGTGTCTAGTCATAAGTGGCTACTGAATGTGAAATGTGGCCAGTTCAGAGATGTGGTTGAAGATTAGTGTTTGTAGCTTTATTTCATCTTAATTTAAACAGAACTAGCCACCCACACCCAGTGGCCCCATCACCCAGCGAGGCTACAGCAGATCCAACACCAGGGGCAGATAAAGTTGGTGGACTGGGTAGGACTTGCACAGGATGGGCATTAGTTGGCTCACTGGGGTCTGTGTTTCACAGGAGTCCAATGTGGACCCTGAACTGGGTGCTGGTGGGACCCCAGTGGGATCTTTCTGGGAAGACTTAACAAATTTTTTAAAATTGATTTGAGAGAAAGAGGAAGGCGGAGAGAGAGAGAGAGAGAAAGAGCGAGAGAGAGAGGAGGAAAAAACATCGATCAATCAGTTGCCTCTTATATGCACCCCAACTAGGGATCGAATCCAAAACTTGGGTATGTACCCTGACTGGGAATCAAACCCGCTGCCTCTTGGTGTTTGGGACGATGCTCGAATCAACTGAGCCACATCAGCCAGGGTGCTGGGAAAACTTTTTTTTTCTTTTTTAATATATTTTATTGATTTTTCACAGAGAGGAAGGGAGAGGGATAGAGAGTTAGAAACATCGATGGCAGAGAAACATCGATCAGCTGCCTCCTGCACACCCCCCACTGGGGATGTGCCCGCAACCAAGGTGCATGCCCTTGACCGGAATCGAACCTGGGACCCTTCAGTCTGCAGGCCGACACTCTATCCACTGAACCAAACCGGTCAGGGCATGGGAAAACTTTTTATTGGTTAACCCTCACCCAGGGATATTTTTCCATTGATTTTTGGGGAGAGTGGAAGAGAGAGGGAAAGACAGAAACTTCGATGTGAGCGGTATCAGTTGGTTGCCTCCTCCACAAGCCCCGAGCCGGGAGGAGCCTGCAACCAAAGTATGTGCCCTTGACCGGAATCGAACCCGGGACTGACGCTCTGTCCACTGAGCCAAACCAGCTAGGGCGGGAAAACTTTAAAAAGCAAAGAAGTGGGGCAAGTGCAGGTTGTGATTGGGGCTGTCAAGAAAATGAAGCAGAGGTGCTAGGGCGGGGGGTGGCTGGGGCCAGCATTAATTTTCTAGAATGAAGGGCAAAGTGGTCACAGTCCCTAGGAAAGGCCAGGAAGCCTGGAACAGCATGCCGAGTAGAGGGAACAGCCTGAGCAAAGGCCCTAAGGAAGGAACCAGCTTAACATTTTCAAAGCTCAGCAAGGCAGCTGGTGCAGCCGGGAGAGGCGAGGGGGAGCCAGTTAGCACTAGGCAAGGACTGGGGTTTATGTCAAAGGAATAGCTACAGTTTGGAATAGCTAACTGGGACCAAGAGGTGTATGGCCCATGCTCTGCTTCCAGGCCCTCTCAGCTGCTGGGGCAGGTGAGGCCCAACCTCCCCGTGTTGAGAGAGGAAACCCAGTCTAGGATGAGGAGCCGGCTTTGCCCTGGCACAGGGGTGAGCTGGTGCCTTCTCTCCTGACCTCTGACCTCTGCCTGCCCCAGGAAGCCAAAATGGGAAGAGGAGGAAGAGGAGGAGGAAGAGCTGGAGGAAGACTTGGGGGATGAGGACGAGGAGGAAGAGGAGGAAGACTATGAGGATGAGGAGGGGCTCGGGCCCCCGGGCTCTGCTGGCTTGGGCCCTGCAGCCCTGTTCCCCCACAAGGCCCAGCTGCCCCAGGCCTTCCGCGGTGGTGACGGTGGGCCCCGGGTGCTGGGCAGCCAGGAGCGCCCAGGGGCTGGCCCAGCCCACCCGGGAGGGGCTACCCACGTGGTACCCACGCTGCAGCCTCCTGACCATGGGGACTGGACGTACGAGGAGCAGTTCAAGCAGGTAGGTCATGTGTCATGTGCCGTAATGGGGACAGTGGAGGCAGGGCCCACCTGGCTGTTACTTGGGTTCTTCCAACTGGCCCAATGGCTGGCTTTTACCTCCCACCTACAAGTGCCAGCTGGATGCTAGGGATCCCATGGGTGGGCTGGCTGTTAAATGCATTAATATGGGGGATGCAAGCCAGGAGAGAGAAGTGGGGGCTCTTGATGTCTGCACCAGAAGGACAAGCAGGGGGACAGAGCGAGGAGACGGGTTCAGAGTGGAGGAAATGGCCCAGGCAAAGGCTGTGCAGTGACCTAGCCGGGCCTGGTTTGTGGGTGTGGCCCGGTGACGTGGTGCTGGAGGCCTTGTCGGCCCGGCCTCCTGAGCGGAGTTCAGTGTATGGAGGCCCAGGCGGTTGGTTGAGCAGGAGGTGGCCACGTTGTGTGGTTGGTGTGGACGGCCAAGCACCCTGGGGCTCTGGAGGGGCAGGGAGGAAGCCGGCCATTCTGGTGCCTTTCCAAGGGCGGCCAGGGCAGAGGAAGTGGCCGGGCGGGGCATCCTTTGAAGTTGGGCCGAGCTGGGCTGGGCAGATGGAAACCAGATGGCGGCCTCGGCGGCCAGTGGGGCTTGCATTCCATCCTCGGCCAGCTGGGCCCTGCCCCGACCTCTAGGAGTGGCTGGAGGGGACCTGGCCTCCCTGGCCCAGAGCCCAGCCTTGCTGGGGCTCCACGGGGCTGTGAACATGACGGCACCCGAGAGTGGCCTCCCGGTAGCTCCCTTCCAGATGCCGGCTCCCGGATTGGCTGCGAGCCCCTCCCAGAGGGAGGTGCAGCCCGGCTACCCTGTGCTGGTCCCTAGGGGCTCAGAGCCAGTAGCTTCTCTCTCTGCTTCACTTGGAGAAAAGGATGCTGGGACTCAGGAGCCCTCGGAGAGCTGCGTTCAGGCCATCAGAAAACTCACCGACGAAGTAAAGAACTGGAAATTGGACCCATGGGGGCTGTGTTGGGAGTGACAGGGATGGAGGAGGTGGGAAGGCGGGAGGGTTGCTACTGCAGGGTTGGCCAGGCCAGCTTCAAGGACGGGAGGGAGTGTTAGACACCCCCTGAATGTGGCCACCAGCCTGAACCTGCATGGAGGACTGACGGCCCCACCCTGCTCCCTGCCTCAGTTTCCCTCCCTTTGGGAAGAAAACCCCTGCTAGCTGGCCACTCACCCCATTCTGTAGATGAGGAAACAGGCATGGTGTTGGAAGCAGGTTCTGCAGACTCGAGCCCCTGGCGTCCTCTGGGTTCAACATAACACAGACGGACATGTTGTAGGCGAGTCATGTTTACTTAGCCACCAAATATTTGCTGTCTGCCCTGCACACAGCCCTCAGGCTGGGAGTCACAGCTGGACAGACCCCCCTGCCTCACAGCATCACAGCCAGGTGGGAGGGACGAGGTTTTGCGGACCTCAGGGCATCAGAGGTTGACAGAACCCCTGCTCCCCTGGCCCCAACACTGATGGAGGTGGGGGGGCGTTGGTGGTCAGGCCAGGTGGGGACAGGGGTTAGAAGCCCTGACCCCAAAGACCTTTTCGCATGTCGGGAACAAAGAGCCTCCGGAGCCATTGTCCCACTTGTTGGGGACGTGACGGTGATGTCTGGGGATACACAGGGTCAGGTCACAGTTTCTGAGGCCAGACGGTCAGGGAGCTTCAGTGTTACAAAGTCACTCTCATGGTTTCTTTCTGTTGGGGGTGGAGAAGGTCAGTAAACCAGTAAATGGATAATAACATGGGATGTGGTTGGCATTTTTACAGAGGAAGCAGCGAGCCTCTTAGAACGTGACCTTTGGGCTGAGCCTTGTAGGAGAAGGAGCCAGGCACACACACCGAGGAATGGTGCGCCTGGCAGAGGAAACAGCCCGTGCAAAGGCCCTGCGGTGGGACCCGGCTTGGCTTGGGCATAGGGGCCAGACACTACTGGTTTGGGTCCCAGAGGCGATGGGCCTGTATCCCGAGATGAGGTGGGCTGAGGGAGGTTTGGGGCCACCGGGGGCCTGCCCTGTGGTGCTGGAGCTTATTTTTGCCCGTTTGTGGCACGTCCTGCTGCCGGTGCTGCCTGTCCACCCAGCTAGCCAGGCACCTGTGCAGCCAGTGTCAATAGTGGCTTGGGCCCAGCCAGCTTGGCAGATGTTGGGGGCCGTGTTGACTCTGGCGCTGCCCCACCCCCTTCCTGGCACGTGGCAGCCAGCCGGCCGGCCATCCACTTGGCATCATCTCTGCCTCTTCCTCCCTGATCTTGGCAGGGCCTGACTTCTGCCCTGAAACCCTCGACAGCCTTGACATTTCACTGTTGGCTATCGGTCTGGGGGCACCCAGGCTGGGGAGGGGCCAGGAGCAGTGGGCTCGTGACCACAAAATCTTTCCTGGAAAACCTGGGAACCCCCCCCTCTTTTGCCCCCCCC